TAGACCGGAGAAGTACACATACTGCAGAAGCATCTGCAGATCCCCTGTCACATTCAGTAGGTGATATTTATAGGCCAATTTTCTGAGCAGTGAACAGAACTAAGGCCAAATCTGCCAGAGCTGAGCCAGCTCCCCATCAACAGAGGTGAAATTTGCAGCAGCTTAGGATCAACAGTTTGAAGGTTTAGTTTAAAGGAGCAAGGTTTTGATTTGGACGCACTGGAACCCAAGGGGACATAACAAATTTTCAAACCAAACCCCCAAATCCTAGCTCTTCAGGCTACGGATGGTCAGCACTGCTATTAAATTTGCATGGCTATCCAGAGGCACTGATGATGCAGCATTGCCTGTTGTGACCCATATGGCGGTATCTTCCACAGGCACCTAACAGCAGAGCTCTCTGCAGTGCGAGGTCTCAAGCCAAGTAGCCTGGCTCCTGCCCTGACAATGCAGTTCACTTCTCCTTTAACTGCTCCCCTTCCCACCCACCTTAAAGATGGTCCCTGCATGGGTGAACATCTGACTGGCCACGGAATGCTCAAACCAGCTCTGGATGGCACATACCTCCAGGGGCTCCTGGTGAGCCTCCAGCCCTGATGACATTGTCACAGTGGTGGTACCTGTGTGAAGATGTCTCATGAGATGTGAGGCCATGGGGGCCAATACTGGCCCCGCAGGACCTTAGCAGTGGTCCTCTCCCAAGGGTTCATGTCAGTCCCTAAAGAAGGCCAGACTAACTAAGCTGAGCAGTTATAGAAATACTAAATCTATTTGAAGATGCACACACAGTAAAAAAGCACCCTGTTCTTTCTTAAATACAGCTCTTCACTGGGAGTCACAACATACTTCCAGACTGGGTCATGGCCCTTTGCCCTAGATAGAAAACCAAGGCACAAAGACAAAACAGCTTGTTTTCTGCCATCAGACAGGCAGAACTGGAAGCCAGGTCTTCTGAGCACTACAATAAAACTCCATCTAGTTGCAACCATTGAGAAGGAAAAAAAAAAAAAAAAGGGGGGGGGGGGGAGAGGAAGAGAGGGAAAGATAAAGGCTGAACCTTATTTGTCACATTTGCAGATTTGAATCTCTGCCACCTACAAAAAAAAAAAAAAAGATGAAATAGCAGAGGAAATAAAATGGCTGCAGACACAGAGTATGCACAATGAATGAGGAATAGGATGTGGAACTAGGAGGGAAGCCAGGGAACAAGTTTAAAGAAAGGATGGGGGTAACAATGCCGGAGTGGCAAGAGATTTAATTGTATGTTACAGTGGCTTTTGCTGCTATCTGCAGATCCTGCATTCAACATGAAGAGCTGTGGAATAGAAAATAGGCAACTCATTAAGGAATTGGGTAGAGATGACAGTCGGATTCCTTATGGATCAAGTCAATGACATATCCGCCCGTAACTGTTTGAAGACTACATAGTGACAGATTTCAGCTGTCATAGCAGAATTCAGATGAAAGAGTTAAGAGAAAAAGCAGAGGAAAAAGAACTGGTCAGTAATAGACTGAAGGTAGATAAATACAGTTCTTCAAACTAATGTTGGATAGCAGGTTAAACTTAAAGACAATGAGCAGAAGTCTTTTATGTTCAAGGGGAAAAAAAGGTAAACAAAGATAAAAAGAATCAAAGAATAGAAAAATGGGAAAAGGAGGTGGCCTAGGAAAGACTGACTGTACTAAAAGACAAAGAAACAAAAAGGATACAGTATACAAAATCATATAGGAGAAACTAAAGCAGGATATTAAATGTATAAAAATAAACAGAATACAGACAATTTAAGTAGAGCCCCTTTGCAGCACACTTGTGTCAGTCCACACTGTATAATTGGCTCATAGCTATTATTCCTAACAGCACTATGAGGTGTTATTCAAAGCACTGAAGAGCCTTTGGAAAAAAAAAAAAAAAAAAAAAAAAAAAAAAAAAAGGAAGAAGAGGAGACCAAAGAAACCTTTATATAAAGCTACAAGTAACTAAGAACACCACAGGGAAGCTCATAAATTCATCTGGTTAGAAAATAAGGAAAAAGATTATTCTTCTAGCCTTAGTAGACAGCTACTATCCTCGTACCAGACTGTGCAGATGTATGTAGTATGTGCAGAGGTGGGGATGGTGGAGAAATCAGGTAAATGTAACAAAATGCATTCTTCATAAGATTGAAACTGATAAGCTATTAAACATACAACTAAATGGGATGACATGAACAAAAAAAGGCACTGACTTTTTTGAAAAAATTGTAAAGCACTGACGAATGACTAAAGTCCCCTGAGTAGACACAGAGGAGACTGATGCAGTAAGACTAGAAGAATATTGTTTTATAAACTTCTCTTTTCCTGCCTTCCTGATGCTTCACCAGTCAAATGTGCCACATCAGAAGTTACCTGTTCAAGTACAGCTTACACACAAAATGAGGTTGGAATTAAATTTTACAGAACAAGAGAAAGACAGAATTCTGTTCCACATCAGTGTTAACAGACACAACACTCAGCCAACTTCTGCACTGTTTAGAACGCTGCCTAGGTTTGCAGTGGGTGCGCACACACTCTCTAGGAGAAAGAGTTTTAGAGGCAATACAGAAGTGACTGGCTATAGCCACCTTCAACAAGGACAATCACAATGCTAACTGATAGAGATATGGCAGTAGATAAAGGGCAAGGGGGCGGGGGGAAGAAAAGCAGAGGGAAGAAGGATATGTTTTCTAACACAAAGAGAATGTTCTCTTATTCAGACGGAAATTAATACAAGTAATGGTTATAAAATACAATTAGAGTCCTCCAACTCTCTCTTATTAATTGCAATTACCCCCTCTGTCCCCCCCCATACTAGAAATGGTGTTCTTCAATTAAGAGGGCTGGGCATGAAAAGCACAGTAGGGCATTTCAGATCTGTTAGACTGGCAAAGGGAAAACCACAAATTCAAGAAAAGCTGGCAGATCAGGGGGTAGGGCTGAACACTTGAAAACTATAAATCCAAACTGCATTTAGTTTACCTAAGATTGACTTTTCACTTACCCATTGATAGATGTTCTAGACATAAAGAGGCTAAAAATTGAGGACACAAAAGAATGATAGAGCTGGATAAACAGCCAGCCTGATTTCTCAATGCTGTTGTTTAAGAAGATCTGTGTTCCTTGGTCAAGGTAACTCTGGACAAAAATAGGCTGAAGGGATTCAGACAACTGTTCTGTGTTGCAGACATACCACTAGAGAAAGAGATAAAGGATCATTAAAAAGTTCAGCAATATAAAACCAGAAGTAGTTAAAACAAATTGAACACATGGAAGGGTAGTATCCATTTCCTTAAATATAAAAATTTAGTTTTTCCTACAGACTTTTCAACAAGCTTCAGGCACCAGACTATAAAATAGTATGGAGTGGGATAACATTGTTTTCTATCTTCCAATTCACTCTCAACTTTTCCCTAGGCATCCTCTGAAAAGAAACCAGCAATATTTTTCCAGGAAAGGAGACAAAGAAAGCAATCAATACTTCAGACCACAGCTCCTCTGTTTTAGAGCACTGCTCGATTATGTGCCTTCACTTAGCAGTACCAACAAGCAGGTCCACAAGTCTTTGGAAACAATTAGGCCTATGAAGCCACCTCCCAGCATCTCTACTGAACAAAGGAGTAGGTTCCCACATCTAGGAAGTGATCAGTAGCAGCTGAAAGGCGGTTCTATACTTTTATATCAGCAAAATCTAAAGCCCAAGCTAAAACGGGCTAATGATTCCTTTCGCCTTGTGTTATCTGGTAACCACTCCTATACAAACTAAACTAACTCTGATATGAAAGCTATTGTTAATTGTGGCGAAAAAGAATGCTACCTTTTGATATCAAATCTAGCTGGAAAAGTAAAAAAACCTAGACAATATCCAAATATTTTACTATCCAGGTGTAAGGCATATCTAAACTTAATGCCTGCTTTACACTATTTTAAATGCAAAAAACCTGGGCAAAACAAGGTAAACCTACAGAAATTCTGAAATTTTAGGACCCTCATGGCCACCTTCTGTACCTCCAGCAAATGCCTCTAATGCTGTACCATTCTGGAATGTCAGCACTGGTAATAAAATTCAAAAGGTTGCTCATTGCTAGGTTACAATGCCAAGCTAAAAACCCCCTCCACTCAATATGCGGAAGTTACAAAAAAAGTTTTAAATGTAATTAAGATTGTCACTATTATTTTTCACTCTCCTACGCTTATGCAAAGTTATCGTCAGCCCTTCTCATGGGATGTCTAATGGCATTGTGTCTGTTTTCTCATATCAAGAATTATTCCCTACAGCTAACACGCTTTTATCTCCCCTTTAGATCTTGCAGTAATGCTCCTTAATCTGGCTGCATGTGTTTATTGTGCAGATAGGGATTTATAAGTCTCTTAAAGAGAAGTTTTAACAGAACCATGTAAAAATGCATGTAGAGGGACAGCAAATGGTCAGCTGGGGTAACTCCTCAACGATTTAACACCTAAGATTGTGTCTATAGCCATACTATGCAAAAGGTATGTTTGTATCCTGATCCCTTCACATTTGTTGTACCTTGCTGGGAGAGAAACAGTCACTTAACACATTCATACACAGTGTTCAGCACAATGGGACTTTCAGTCACTACTGTAATACAGTAACGGGACAGGATTCTTATCCCCGTGTCCTGCCACTTCACAGTAATAGAGCCAGCAAGCAGAGGGGAGTAGACAGCTGCACCAAGACCATTACACCAGATTCATAAACAGGGCTCCATCAAACACTGACCCAAGTAGCAAGGGATACTGACAGCCTTCACCTGAGGAGAAAACATATGCCTGCCTAGGTTTTCTTTGAAAACTACTTGCATAATGGGTAGATTTTTGTCAGAATCAAGCTCTCATCTGTATTTTCAAACACAGCTGTAGGTAGTACAAGTAAGTGATCTTTTCCCCTAAAAACCAGATTTCAAGCAAGCACATACTACATGATGGAGACTGGCACAGGGATCCCCAAGACTGCTGATTTACCAGTTTAGGTCTTTTCCCACTGCAGCGCAGTGCTAGTTAAATGAATCAGCATAATCCAGTGCTTCCCAAAACATATCCTTAGTGAGTTGTCAAAAACCACCAAAGCAGCAGCCTGTGTACTCTGTACATCCATCTTCAGAAGCCAATTTCAAGTGCCTGGCAGAACCCAATAATCCCAAATTGCTGAGGAGCAGGCTGGGATACATGTCAGGTTCATTCATGAGGCTGCTGCCTAGCTACACTGGACAGGTTTGGAGTGGCTCAGATATCTGCCTTTTTCAATGCGTTGCCATTTTCAATCCAGCAGAAAATTTATTCAACTATCAAAGCCTTGGGAAACAGGCTTTGTTCCGTAAGCAATATGACCACATATATGCTGCACCTGAGCTCATATACCTTGGATCTGCACTGAACTGTCACCTGTAGTGCCAGGATCTGACCATGGAAGTCAACAGTCCTACAGTTCTTGTCATTAAGACTTTAAATATTGATATATGTTGACATAACCATTGGCAGAACGATGATGGTGACAACTGCGAGAAGCTTGTTCTCAGAAATTAGGCATTGTTCACAGACCTCGTCTAATTTCTTCTTCATGGTTAATCTCACCAATAAGGTTGTTGGCAACTTTGTATAGGACACTAGTGAATAACAGAAATTATAGCAAACTATAAGAAGAAGAAAAAAAAGCAACACAGAATAAAACCAATACAAATTTCAAATGACAAAACTGGTGAAAAACAGCTTAATTCTGAAACTACTTCCTCAGAACAGAAAGTGCTTTTGTTATCCTCTGTGTACAATTATCTGAAAAGCCCTTTTCAGGCCACTAGTTTCATGACAGAAAGCATATTAATCTCTTAGAGCACAACAGTAGAAAAACTACAGCACAAAGATCTGAAAATATACGTTAAAACCTTTATTATAATAAAAATGAAAATTATTGACAACTTTTGACTAATATTAGTGAAAGGAAGAAAATGTTCTTTTAGCTAACTTACGTAAAACTAATGAAGTCAGTAAAACTGCAGAGAGTGAAAGTACCTGTGGCCTCAACATGCAATCCTTACTTATGAGTAACCCCACAAACTCAGTAATCACAAATCTTACTAAATTTACTGATCAATACTTTAGGTTTAAAAATCTAGATCCCATAAATTATAAACTGAGAGTATCCACTGCAGACCATCTACCTGTGAATGACAATCATCTCCATAACACACTTCCTTGGCTGACTCATCCTTCTTCTAGTATGGTTTTTAGCCACACAGGAAACTTTCCAATTTTCTTTGTTTGCTAGAAGGAAGTTCTTTCTGTAAATCTGTATTCTACTTCTCCGTGTATTTATGTACTGAATAATCCAAACAGCAGACTGTATTATAAAATCCCAGTGATATATTCACTCAGAAGCAGGATTCTGTATGTCAGTGCCAACCCAGAACACTAAAAAATGCTCTGGTAATGGATCAGCTTGAAGAATTACGGTGCATAATTATGTTCTTTCTTTGCACAGCAGTCCTTGAATACTTATGCATCTTCTTTATTAGCTCAGCTCTGTATATTCTACTTAAAGTTAGTATTTTCCTTCAGCACTGAGAGTTTGTATTAACACTTCTGAACTCCTGTCAGATTTTCAGTAGACTTTTGGTAAAATGTAGCACAGATCTGAACATATTCCAAATGCAATCATATCACACTGCAAGGGTATAGCCCCTAACTTCCTCACGAAGTACTGATCCACTTGCCTCTACTGCCCAAATACAGAACTAACCTTTTATTGCAGTCATATCACATCGAAGACTCATTTCTAGCTGACCATCTACTCCTGTTCTAAGGCCTCTGTGAGCTTCACAGTTTTCCAGTTGTTCACTTTAAAAAATTTCCTCTAGATACACCAGCACTAATTAAAAACCTCTCTGCGATTACAAACCCGCGCCATTCAACACCACCTGCAAACTTCCTTCGAGTGCACTCACGGAGCTCACCGGGAAAAAGGCAAAACGAAGGTTTACATGTCTCAGGTGCAGCTCCGCACCCCAACCCGACGCATTATCAGTCTCGGGACATCGCGCTGGCTCCCGATCCCGCCGCTAACCGCCGGACTCGCTCCGACGACCCTCCCGCGGCGAACACCCAAGCCCTCAGCACGCTTCGCCGGCACCCAGCCCTCACCTTCCCCCTGCGGCTCCGCAGCCCCAGTACCGCACCTCACCTCCCCGGCAGGCTCCCGGACGTATTTCACGCGGAGGGCACACGTCAACTTTCTCACCGGGAGGACCGAGCTGTTCCCTCTCTCTTTGTCTGGCGCTGCCCGGCCCGGTGCCCTCCTCAGCCCGCACCAGGGTCCCCCCGCTCCTTCCCCCCCTGCCCCCGCGGCGGCTGGTACCTCAGGGCGCCCCGGCAGACGAGGAGCCCTG